GTGATGACGTGTTGCTTGTTAGCTTGTTTTCCTTGGGAAAGTTTCTTGCCTCTGTTCAGTCTTAGGGTGCAATTTTCCTACCAGGAGGGGGTCTGTTTTGGAGCGCCTAACTTTCTGGGTGTTCAACCTTGGCCGATGGCAGATATGAATTTTTTCATACATGAGAATTTCACAGGTCACTGCTCCCTGTGCCTCTCTGAGCAGACCATGTTCTGCCTAGTGGTCTCCGGTAGGCTTGACAACTCCATGTGACTGAAGCCCCATAATATAGCTAATATCAGTCCAATAGTACCAGGGAACCAACAGGGCTTCCCCACAGAAAACCAGCTTTTCGTCAGTGTTTACAGTCATTATTTATTTCCGACATTGTTTATGAGACCATATAATTTCTTTTTGTGTTGCTTCCTTCATAAGTTTTTATACCACAATATCATATGTATAAAAAATGAATAAACAGATCTATACTTACCACCCAATGATGTTTGTAGAGCATGAGTTGACCTTTAGGTATAACCCCTCCACCTGCACCAGGAAATAAATTTCCTAAAGTTGCTCAACAGATGTTGTATAGGTGGACTGGAGACATTGGCGCGCATTTTAAAACAAGTCCCATATTATTCGGACAATAAATTGATTTTTTACAAGCTTTTAAATTAATGACGCCCCTTTGCATCATCACTGACTCAGCGTGTTTTGGTTTCATGCTGCATATATGTCATCAGGGCGCAAAAGTGTTAAATTAACTAAACAAAGCTGCCAAAGAAATTTACGAAAAATCACTTTTGCAAACAGAGTGGTAGACGATTAGAACAAGTTAGGTGAGAAGGTGGTAGAGGCCAAAATTGTCAGTAGTTTCAAAGCTTTATATGACAAAGAGTGCTGGAAAGACGGGACACCACGAACGTAGCTCTCATCATGTAACTACACTTAGGTAATTACACTTAGGTAATCACTGGGCTCAGTTCTTGCACCATTAATGTTCATAGTTTACATAAATGACCTACCAGATAGAATGAAGAATTACATATATGAACATGCTTGCTGATGATGCTAAGATACTAGGGAAGATAAGAAACTTAGATGATTGTCATGTCCTTCAAGAAAACCTGGACAAAATAAGTGTATGGAGCACCACTTGACAAATGGAATTTAATTAATGTGAATAAATGCAATGTTATGAAATGTGGAATAGGAGACATTATAAATACACAAATTCTGATAAAGAAAGAGATCTATGGGTGGTTCTAGATAGAAAACTATCAGCTGAGGACCACATAAAGAACACTGTGCTAGGACCCTATGCTATGTTTTCCAATTTCAGAATTTCTTTTAAATACAGTACATGGATGGTGAAATACTAAAGAAATTGTTCACTACCTTTGTGATACCAAAGCCAGAATATGCAGTGGTTGTATGGTGTATGTATAAATATCTTAAGAATCGCATAAAAAAACTGGAAAGGTGCGAAGACATGCAACTAAATGCCCCCCCCCCCCACCCCAGAACTGAAGAACAAGAGCTATAAGGAGAGGTTTGAAGTACAGTATTAAATTTGCCAAAACTAGAAGACAGAAGAAAAAGAGGCAATATCACTACACACGAAGCACCTTACCCAAACAAGTGGGGAAGGAGAGATGAACAAGGCTGCACTAGTTTGGAGAGATTTTGATAGTTTGTTTACATAACTGGGGGAGTTCTTTTGGCAGTTCTTGAGGCTGCGGACTCTTTTTCCAGCCAGCAGTGGTCTGTTATGTCTTGCTGACTTTCTTGTTGCTTTACTGGTGATGACAAATAACTGCCACCCCTTCCTGTATCTCTCTGAGTGGAAGCCAGGTTCTGGTGCTGGTCCCCAGTAGGCCTATAGAACCCAACAGCTGATGAGACCTAGTAGATGTGATAGTTTTTAGTACACTATCAGTGATAGTTTCAGGGAGCCAATGGGGTTCACCCAAAAATTGGTGTTTCATTACATTCGTACTGGTTCTTTCTTGCCATGTCGTAATTTCTGTTAAACCAGTTATGTTTTCTAAATTATCATCTTTGCTTCTGTATAGAATTTCAATTGCCATCATCAAATATCTTGCAACATTTGGAATATATCACATTCATTTCCTTACCTAACAACATGTATCTGTGTCTGTATCTGTAAGTGTGCCTATGTGTCATTGGTAGAGGCTTGTTTGTCCAGACCTAATCAGATATGAAATATAAACATGCTATCACAGTATAAACTACCTTAAACACCTGCAGCCACAAGCTGTCAACACATTAATTAAGGGTGTGGATCTGCAACATATTCCCGTATTTTTATGTTAGTGAATTAATTTATTAGTTTATGTATTTTTATAATTCAATTTATGTACACATATTTGACAAAAGCAATGAATAAGTACTGTATTCAGGCCTAATATATAATATGTACAACCAGATAACATGTAAATCTGTCCCCTGGCACAGCTCAAAGGAGGTCTATTACACTCCTTTGCTGCTATTTTGTCTGGAAATGTTGCCTAGAAATAGCTTCAAACACTGGCAGGAATGACCAAATTGTGATATGACAATAATTACAGACCACTAGTACATAATAACCTCACTGAATAGTAAGCAATTAAAAATGATTGCAGAACTTTTTCATAGGTCTTGGTTAACTCCATTACATCTAGGAAATGGTTTTTACAGTAACCATATTTACATCACTTGAATAAAAAACTGGGTGATAAATAAAACTGGTAAATGTTGATACTGTAACAACATTACACACAGAAATCACAATAGCGTGATGCATCAAATGAACAAATCCACAAGGGCCGTGACGAGGATTCAAACCTACGTTCGAGAGCATCCCAAACGCTGCCTTAATCGACTGAGCTACAACATGGTCAAAAGAGTTGAAACCAGAAGTTCTACTGAACTTACTTGGATCCTGCAGCCTCTCCGAGACACAAACCAGGGTTTTACACAACTCCCTCATGCACTCGAGCTATGTTAATAGGCCGTTCTACCTCTTCGCCCTTACTTCATTACACACAGAAATCACAATAGCGTGATGCATCAAATGAACAAATCCACACGGATCCCTGTCACTGCCCTTGTGGATTTGTTCCTGTAACAACAATGTTTCGATGGATCAACATATGACAATAACCGACCTTAAAGACTTAAGAGGGAGTGTCCTTAGAGTCAATATTTGAGCAGTGTTTGCTGCTGTCTGTGGTATACCTGTTTAGGGTATGATTTATAGTTTATTAGCTTTGCTTTACAATTGTTTATTTTCAAGTTCTTGAACAATTTGTTTAACGTACTTTACGTACGTACAGAACTCGCTCGGCCTTTTTATCATTTTATTTATTTTCTTTAGCATCCACATTCATTGTGTAGTACTGTATGACAACCAGAAGTACACAACATAATCCCCGTGTGACCTCACCAGATATACACTACATTGTCTAGTTGTGAATAACCTTACTTTAAATATGCCTTAATAAAAAGATATTAAATTAGTGATATATAGGGATTATACCTATCTCACTAAGTTTTTTTTTTCACATACAGTAGTTAGTGAAACTCTAATTATTCAGATTAAATGAGACCAATCTACTCTCAAATTTCAAGTACCTGTACTGTACATTATAGGTATTATGTTTCCTGGCTTCTCCCTCTTTACTAAGGGTTCCGGTACTGCATTATGCATCGAGTTTGTTCTCGATGCATAATCAAGAATTGCGGATTCGAATCCCGAACGGGACTGAAATGGTTGAGGACATTTCTTTTCACCTAATGATTCTGTTCACCTGGTAGTAACTAGTTACTCGGGAGTTAGTCAGCTAGTTGTGGGGTTGCATTCTGGGTGTGGTTAGTAATTTGGCTTTGGGGGGGAAAGACCTCGATATAAGCCTAACATGTATGAATACACTCTGGCTTTCTGTCCCTCGACACAATGAATTATGAATTTATGGCCCCCATACCCCCCCAAAACAGGCGTTATAACCACAATGATAAAAACATTTGTGCACATTCTCAGACTGAACCAAATTTGGATGATTATTGAAATTTTAATGAAAAAAATTTTCAGACTTATTTCTGTTTATTCATTGGAAACTTGAACTAGTTGGATTCTTCCTTCTCTAATGGATTAGGTATTCATAGTAACACGTGACCATAACTGAATCTAACTTTGTCCATTGGATCACTAATATTTGGATTCTCATTGTCAGGGTCAGGAAACCTGTTAGGCTTGTCAAGGCCTTGACCAATGACAGGCCTTCCACTATGATGCCATGCACAACAGTTGGTTAACTCCCAGGTACCTATATACTGCTAGGTGAATAGAGGCACAAGGTGTAAGGAAATATGTCCAAATTCACTGCTAAGTGAATAGGTGCAAAAACTGTTAAAAAATACAAAATACAAAATTTAAACAATTAAATTTTACGAACAAAATAACCTGCGTTTGAAAGCAACGTCTCTATCTTACACTGTTGCAGACAATGCCAAGAATGAGGAGAGCATAAGTGTGGTGCAACTGTGTAGCAGTTAATATGTTTCAGTAGAATTTGGCTAAGACAGTGTGGTATTTTTTTTAAGAAAATACGTTTCTGTTGTGCTAACGTATATGCTTTGCTAGCCTATACTAGAATATGTTTAGTTATGCACGTTACAAGTTTTTATAAGCATCCTACTTTATAGTTAACATACCGTACAATGACTAATTGCAACTTACATGGATTTACCTTAATGTTTGGAACGTCAATTTATCCAACATGCCATAAAAGGATTATCTATCAGAAGCGGTCATTATGGCATATACACATAGTGTATAGCCACAGAGCCCATATATATGGTGAGGGAGCACCAGAGAAGAAGATGTAGAGACTGGATGCTGCAGCGACAATCATCCCAGCAGTCAGCTCACAACACAAGAGCTTCACTACCCCTAGAGAGTGAGCCAGCGTGCGGGAGAGGCAGTGAGGGAGGAGAGAGAAGCAACACTCACCGTCTGGAACTCATGGTGCCACCATGGAGAGGGAGAGTGTCGAGGGAGAACTCCAGCAGCCACAGCTTCAGCGGCCACCACAACAAACACTGGTGCCGCCGCTAGAGCCCCACCACCACTCCCTCGCGCCCTCACGCCCACCCGCCCACAAACACCACCCACACGCTCAAAATATCACCTCTAGTAAACCTAATTTAAGCCGTTGTTGGAAGGAAAAAGGATGTTAAGGGCGTTTAAGGATGAGGAGGGATGCACGCCAAGCGGACCTCATTTGTTCCAGTTTGGCGCGACTTGTTTACATTTGAACAGCTGTTGGGTGGCGAGCTGGAGGCTGGCGACGACCACACTGGAGGCTGACACTCTCACCACTGTTGCTGCTCCTGGTCATGATGGGCCCACACCAACACACTCACTTTGACGATGATGTGAGTAAATGATCGAAACAAATTAAGGTTCTTTGTGTGACTGAGTGAATGTAATCAGAAGACAGTTGTTAAGGCCACGCCGCACTCCACAGCAAACGTGCAAATTAATAATAAATAATTGTGTATGGGGACAAGCAGCCAGTGTATATGTACACGTTAGGCTTATATCGAGGTCCCTCCAAGATCAAACTACTGACCCCGCCCGCAATGCAATCCGAAAACAGTTAACTACCAGGTACCTATTTACAGGTAGGTGAACAGCGGCAACAGGTGATAGGAAACGCGCCCAGCCCTTTCTGTCCCACCCAGGATTCGTACCCGGAATTCTCGATTGTGAGCCGAGAACGAATCCTACTGTACTACCGGGATCCTAATTTAGTTTGAAACAATCGAGGGACCCCACCTCCTCCACGTTTTAAGGGGGCGTCAGATTCCAATTTGCCCTAAAAATGCAACAAATGAAAACTCGTTCGATTTCAATCAAACTTTTTTGACAAGTTCTATATGAAAAGTGTTTCATCTGGTCCAAGTTTCAGCATCGTAGCATAAATAGGAAGGGAGAAAAAAAATATTGAAGTAGTTGTGAAAATTATGCCAAAATGGTCAAAATCGATTATCAATCAAAAGTGTCAACTGAAATCATAGCTATGACTCTTTGCTATCACAATAGCATATATTAAACAAATATTATAATTAGTTTAATTGAAAAAAAAATTTAAGAATTTTTTTTTTTTTTTTTTTTTTTTTTTTCATTTTTTTTCGGGCGATTTGCATCAAACTTACACACCTGACTGTACGTAAGCCTATCTGTAAGGACGCCAATTTTGGAGAAAATTGGTTGATGTCAACCTCAGCCACAGATTTTAGAACCTTAGACTTCATTCATTTCTGTTTTTTTTTTCAATTGACACAAACGTTTACAAAACTGATTCATTTTTTATTCAATTTACATGAAACTTACACAGTATATGTGGAGGGCATGTCTCTACATTTGAGAGTTTTCATTTTTCTCTAAGTTCATTTATTGATTTTATAATAGCAATAAACATGCCATATTTGCAAAAAAAAATTTGGGAACTTTGAACATTTGTATTAGGAAAACTAAAGATGTTTTGGAAATTCTATATCTCAAGGTCCTTTATTATATGCTAATGTGTCAGAAAAGTGTCACAGAATAATTATATCTGAAACGTGTGTTCTGAAGTGTGGACTTGAAAATGTGTAAAAAACGTTGAAAAAAAACAAAAACAAAAAAAATCTCCCTTTCTATTTATGCTGCAGTACTGAAACTTGGGACAATTAAAGCACTTTTCATATACAACTAGTCAAATAATATTGGTTGACATTGAACAACTTTGACTCTTGACAATCTGACGGCCCCTTAAATCTAGCTCGTATCTTGTAACTCTTATCATCATTACCTAGCCTCAGAACTTTACATTTATCAGCATTAAACTGCATCTGCCAATCTTTTGACCATTTCAAAACCCTATTTAGATCAACTTGTAGTGATAGCAAGTCGTCTTCCGTGTTAATTTCCTGACCAATTTTTGTATCATCAGCAAATTTGCAAATGTTGCTATTCATACCTGAATCTAAATCATTTATATATATTATAAACAACAGGGTTCCCAAGACAGAGCCTTGAGGCACTCCACTTACAACATTTTCCTACTCTGACTTAACCCGTGGTTATTCTCTTGAACCGTGGACCCCACGCGTGTGAGGCCGACGCTCCTTCCACAGTTTATTTCCATGGAAGTGTAGATGACAATTTACAAGGCAGAGTTTGTTATAGTTTTAATAGCTGAACATATACACAAGAGCCGTGACGAGGGTTCGTCGTTAGGGCCACGGGCCAACAAGGGCCGTTGACGAGTGTTTTCCGAGTCCTTTCTTGCCTTGTGCGATGTTGAAGGTTGTTCGTCACTGCTGCCTCAGGGAGACGATCATCCGTACTGCCTTTGCCATGCTGCCTGTTGGGTCGATGACACCTATCACCCGGAATCTTGTGGGTCTTGTTTCCCGCTTGTGCTTCAATTTAATTTACCCATTCCCTGTCTGATGATCTTAGGGGTCAGGTGGCAGCTGCATTGCATGCTCGTTTCTCCTTATTGCAACGGGTCAGGTTGGTTGCCCGGTTGGAGGCCCCGAAGTTGCCCCACTTGGGTTTAGGGACTTGGATTTGGGGGCGTCGGTCAATTCAACCTTGGTTTTGTCCGCACCCCCGCTTCCTTTCCAGGTGGGCGTGGTTCGCCCTGCTCCTTCTCCCCTGCTTCAGGCTCCCAAACGTCTTAGGGTTATGGAGTCAGGGTGGGGTGGCTTCGGGGGCTGCCCCTTCCGATTTGAGCGCGGAGGTGGTTGAGCCCAATTTTCTCGCCAAGGCTTCTGGGTCACCCCACCAGACACCCTTCTTTGAAGCTTTTCTCCTGGACTGTGCCTTTTCTTCAGTAGCAGTGGGCATGGATGAGGGCTCTGCCCCAGGGCCTGTGTCGGGGGTTCCTGGATCTCGGAGTGAGTCCACTTGGAGTGCTTGGGCTCCTTTTGACCCTGCTTGGGCCCTTGTTCCTTCTGGCAGGAATTATTGCTGCTGGATTCGTACCTCCTCCTCAAACTGTATGAGTTTGAGTTAGGTGCGGCTACCCTTGGGTTCCTCAGATTCGTCCTTCCAGAGGTTTCCTTCCTCTCAGATTTCCCATGGAGAGGTTTGGGAGGCCCTTGGTGTGTACCTCCTGCATGACCCGGTTTACTCTTCTGTGATGGATCCGGCTTTGTTTGAGTTCGGTTCTTCTTTCCTGTATTGGGTGCGTTATGAGGTTCCGGGGTCTTCTTGGCTGGCAGACTGCCCCTTTTCTCTGGGAGCTTGGCACAGGTTTTATCGTATCCGCGCACGTTTGAGTGGCAAGAGGTCTCTTCGGTGTTGCAGGTACTGTATTCTGAGAGGGGGCTTGCTCGAGTTCCTCAATGAGTGCCTCTTTGACCATGCGCTTCTTTGTGATGTGGATCTGGTGTCGTTGCATGCTCAGGTCCCCACTCTTTTGGCAGCTATGGCGGCTGATGACCTTCGGACTCGTCGTCATTTGGCCTCGGTCTCGCTCTTCTTTGGTCTTCTGGAACTGTCTTCAGATTGGCTTTTGGAGGATATGGGGGCATTGCATGAGGGGGGGGCCTTTGGCTGGGGTTCTGATTTCTGCTGCTGCGGTGTTATCTGCCCTGCTGAAACTGTTTGCGTCGATCCTCCTGCAGGCAATTTCTGTGTTTTTCACCTTGTTTTCTGCTGTTTGCAAACAGCTGTTTGCACAGTGGTTTGACTATAAACTTTTCAAGTATTTTTGTCACTCCAGTTACTCATGTAAATGTTAAACAACTTGATACCTTCCTGGCGGTGCGACATAAAATGTCAATGTTACTGTATGTGCTGACAGCACATTGAGTGACAGTGACAGCACTCAGTGAGTGAGTGAGTGTCTTATTCATAGAGTATAGTGCAAATGTACTGGATGGAAATTTGTTGTATCCTGGTATATCAAATATTGTACAGTACCTACTGAACATCTTATCAAATGCTGTAGATTCTTTCTTATTTCTCAGGCTAGTTTGAATATTATTCTTAATGATACATACTGGTATCACTAACAATTATGCATTATGATATATATTTCTTAACTAGTTTTATGCTATTATAATTTTTATATCTAGTATTATGCTTTTAATGTCAATCATTCAGAAGTCTCATAATGCATTTTCTTTCAGGATTTTTTGCAAGACATATTTGAGTCCGATGCTATGGAAGGTGTAGTAGACAGTAAGACAACAACTTGTATTCAGCATAATTACAATCCTGGAGTGCATATTTCTCCACAGAAGAATACTAGTGAAAATAGTTTTGAAGAAAAAATCAATAGATATGAAAACAGATCCAAAATTGATAAAAACCAAAACAAAAAATCAACCCCTAAATTTATCAGTAACAAAAATGGATGTATGGAAAAATATACATCAGATGATAGTTTTGAATTTGAAGATGATTCTCTCTTTGATAATTTTTATACTGAAGAGAAGGATAACATAAACCCCTTCACAACAAGTACTCCACCAGACTCTGAGTTTACCCAGATCTTGAACCCCAAGATTAGCAACCAGGTTCAGATCAATAATGATGTTAAAGTCAGTAGTGTAGCTGGAACTGACACTGTAAGAAAAAAAGATTTTAGATATAGGCTTCTTCAAACATTAAAAGAGAACAATCTTGTTAGTTCTGTTTCTCATAGCCCAACTTCACAGTCACCACATTCACAAACTGCTAGTTGCAGTAAATCCCCAGAATATATGGTAAGTAATGACAGAAAAAGATCATCTGTACACCAAAATGACATAAATGAAGAGGATGGTGCTCTAGTTGTCAAGAAACAATATATAAAGTCTAATATTCCTAATAAGACCTTCAATGAAAATTTCAGTACTCCAAGAACAATCAGTGATACTGCAGCTCAGAAAAGACATACACAAACACTTCCTCTAAACAACAACCAGTTCAAAACAAACACAGCTCGAGAAGTTCATCTCCCACAATACCAGCAACCTTCAGCACCTTCATCATCACCAGTAAACCCTCCTGTGAAAGGCATTAGAAAAACAGTTAGCCCAGGGGGGCCAGTCATTCGTAAGAGAAAGTTTCCAGGACCAGCTGGGATTCTGCCACAGCTGGTTAGTTACAAATAATTTAGAATTTGTTCAAACCTTTATTATTAATTCCATGAAGTACTGTAGTAATGTATAATGGCCATTACAGTATTGTATTTTGTACTATACACTATAAGTTATGGAATTTCTAAATCCATAAATAACAATTGCTAATACAGGACAGTATATACAGTATATGGTACTGTATTAGCTTTTGTGGAATGTGTATGTATTTGATTTGATTAATAAAAAACATTTATTTGTGTTACAAACTTCAATTTTCTTTAGGGTTCAAATGTTGCTGTGCCAAACATTCAAGAATTACATGAGAAGACACCTTCCTCTGTTGCTCAGGTATGTAATGAACATAATTTTGTGTATTCTCTTCCGTACATTATTGTATTTCTTGAGTAACAGATGTTGCTGTTTAATTTAGGTCTCCAAAATTTGTTCACCTATCTTGATTAATCATATCTTTTTTTGGGGTGGGAATTGCTGTGTATAAACAGCTTCTCTGGGCATTCCAGTTCACCCTTTGGATTTAATTTGGCAGAAGCATCACATGCATGCAAAGAAAGTGTGTTAAGTTATACCTGTAGTTTTAATGAAAAGTAAACTAAGTACTTGTACCAATAATGTATGTAAAGAGCTCATCCCAAATGGGCTACTGTAAAACCTAAGTCTTAATTTATAAATACTTGGAAAATTAATCCTCAATTGTGTACAGTACTAGCAGTGGGAAATAGGAATACTATAAAGTATTCTATAAAGAATATGGACAGGTTGCAGATTGCATGACCAAGCATATATATAAAAGTACAAAAATAGAGCATGAAAACAGAGAATGTAAAAGATTAGTAATTTGAAACATTATACTGTAGATGAGAAAATGTGAGTTATCCAAACTGTGCTGCAGTGTGATTTTGGCAAATAGTGCCTTTGCCCTGCCCCCCCCCCCCCCCCCCCACAAAAAAAAAAAGCATACCTTGCCTGTTCTCTGCAGTTAGGTCCTAGGGAGTTCCAGGCTTTAATTTTTTGCTTGTCATCTTCCCCTTTTCTGCTTAGGGGCTTTTCCACTTTGCCTTTATTAGGTTCCACCCCAGTGTTTGGTGCAATTAACACACCTTGTTGCTCCTTAGACCTTTCCATTGGCTTCGAGTAGCCTGGGGAGCCCGTGGTGTGATGATGCGTTGCTTGTTTTTCTTTGGGAGAGTTTCTCACCTCTGTTCGGTCTCAGGATGCAATATTTCTATCAGGAGGGGTCTGTTTTGAAGTACTGTACCTACCTTTCTGGGTGCTCAACCCCGGTTGATGGCAGACATGAATACTTTCATACATGTGGGTTTCATAGGTCATTGCTCCCTTCGCCTCTCTGAGGAGGACCATATTCTGGCTAGTGGTCCCCGGTAGGCATGACAACTCCATATGACTGAAGCCCTGTACTAATATTAGCTAATATAAGTAATAGCTCCTGGGAGCCTCCAGGCTCCTCATTTCATTTGTCGCCTTCCCTTAAAGTTCCATTCCCCACTGGATGTCACTCTGAAAATCCCTCACTTTACTTTAGTCTCTATGTCTGTAGTCTCTCGTATTCCTCAGGGTGTTTCCTGGTCTACAGTGACCCTACCCTATAGGGCCACTGTGGATCAAGAAACAATGTCACTGGTGTAACTGAAATTTTCACTGGCTTGTAATGAATCTTTTCATGGCTAAAATTTCCCTGCAAGCACTGCACATCTTTACTTAGTAGTACTTCACTGGTCACAGAGTCACTATAGTAACAGGTGTTTCACTTGTTGGCACTCTACTCTCTCACCTTTCTGCATTCTGATCCTCCATCACTCAAGATTATCACTTGGTGCCAAAGAGCAGGTAAACAGGCTGTGGGGTGATAATTCACTATGATCCACTGTTCTGATGTCCCTCACAGCTGGTACCAGAGAACCATGGTCCCCAACCACCAGTTTCCTCCACATTGCACTTAGATTCTGCAGCCATGGATCTTGCCCACTGGCACAGTACTTACTCTCGGAAATTCGACCAGAACCTTCCTCTTGAAAAATAATAGGATCATGCATTATTCTATCTTGCTATCTTTATGCACCATGTCAAGCCAACATGTGGAACCAATGACAAATCTCACATGACTTGGGAGACGACCGACGTACGTCCACTTCTTGTGACCACTTGAGCAACATTGATGCCTCTTGAGCCGCTGAACCTCCTTACAGCTCTCGTGCACCTGTCACATGACCTCAGGTTTATGCAACTTGTAGCCAGTCATGTTGTTTTCTCACATCAAATTCTCTTCTCTCTCTGGGTGCCAATATTCCAGTTGTTGATGAAATTTAATGGTGCAATGTTTGAATATGACCAGCTAGGCTACCCCTTCAAATCTGCACAATCTAGAAAATTACAAAATTATGCTTCCTGCAGGCTTCTAATTTTAACTAGAGGATTCTCTGGGCTGTCTTACATGCCTGAAAAGGTCAGAGCACAACTCTTAATATTGGGAAGATGAGGGTTACATAGATAGTATGCAACACATGGTTTAAAAGAAGCTAATATGTAATGCAGAAAGTGCACAAATGAAATAAGAGTAATGAGGTCATCAGTGGACGCATCACACAACACTTGCCTTGAAAGTGTAGCGTCTTCGCCAGCTTTTAAGAGATTAAATTGCATAACTAAAATCATGCCTTTAGAATATGTTCAAATAATTTATTGATAACAAAAATAGAAACTCAAGAAATACTTCAATATTTTGTTGTTGAAAAAATTTCTCTAACCAAATTTGCAACAAAACATTGTTGTTTTGTATATTCTCTCTAGTTCTTCTTTATATATTTCAGGATATAATATGCTCACAAAACTCTGTAGCCGACTTCTCTAGAGGACCTTGGCAGCAAATGATTAATGATTTAGAATTGGATCAGACTGACCTGGAATCTCCTTTGCATGTGTTTAATATTAAGTGGGTACTTCGGAGAGCCAGTCTACGAGGTCAGGCAGGTGTTCGGAAAGTTCCCTTTTTAGCTGTGATAGTGCGCAACCTTGATGTGACGTGTACAGATGCTACAGCAGTGCTAAAAGATCCAACAGGTAAGCACTGTTCATTTTATTGGGTTTGATGATATTTTGTGATACAGTATTAGTCTGTGTATCTATTACTGCCACAGTAATAAATTTGTGGTAATAATAGTACAGTAATTTGATATAGCTTCTTAACCTGCTCTATTTTACTCCTTTATATACATTGAGCTAAAGTGAGCAAACTTCTCTGCATTGTAATACAGTAGCACTTTATTATTCAATGTGGTCATTAAACATTATTTTAGTGAATCTCATGTTTTCTGTCGCTCTTATTAACTCCCACAATATGTTTGCGCTGAATACAGTCACTGTGAGGATTCAGCTGACTGGTCACCTTCACCGGTGTCTGCCTCAACTCTTGCAGTTTAACTCTAGGAATTTATATTATGTACTGTATAGGACTTTGTATTTCTTTTGATATATGATGAAATGCTGAACAGAGGTTTGAAATTTTATTGTATATAAATATTATTCTCCAACTTTTAACCTGCAAAATATAAAAATTTTACTAGTACATACACTAACCTTTACATGGCTTAATAATATTATAAGAGTGCAAAGAATGGCCAAAAAGTGCAAAGCAACTTTATGAATTTGGAGCAGTGTCCAAATTATTGGACGGTTATACATGTGCTCTGGTAGGGAGGCCACTGTGTTTGTGTCCTCTCTAGCATTTGACCAAGTTGGTCGTAGAGTAAGACAATTTTTAGCTTTCCTTTTGCTAAAAAATCATGCTGCTATATAGAGTTATGGCCGTTTTATATAAACATCCACAAGCATAAAACCATGTTTTATATAAGCATCCACAACTGTGACTGCTTAACTGACTATGACTTGTTGTAACTATAAATGCCTGACTGGCTGTGACTGGTTCTGAGTGGCTAATACATAATAGAGGCAGTGAGATGTGTGAAGGGAAAAACTGGAATGAGTGATGCAATAATCAAAGCACTTAAGGCGAGCATGGGATGGCCTGATGTTATAATGGACAGGGTCTCCCCTTCCAAACACCTCTCCTTTCCCTCCCTCCTCACTGTCTTCCATATCCCAACAAGAGTCCTCAGTAAGTGTTGTTAAATGTTAATTTATTTTATTTACAGATTATATTTATTCCTGATTGTTTTGTGTATGAATCAAATATTGGTATTCTGTATAAAATGTATTTTTTAAGTTAATATTTTTGGGTGTGTGGAATGAATTAATTCAATTTACTGTACATTATTTATGGAAATATTTGATTCGGTGTACAAAATTTCGGGTTTCGATGCATTTCTTGGAATGGATTAAATTTATACACCATATGCAGGTACTTGTATAATGTATATAAAATGAGTCAGTGAGAGAGAATACCATTTTTTATCTTTAAATTTTGGAAGGTAATTATGCATGAAGTTCTTTATTTAAATTTAGCTCTCTCTGTTTGGCAGGAGAAATGAATGGAACAATAGCAGGCTCAGTAATGGATGAGTATGGACCTTCGCTACAACCTGGATCTGTGCTACTACTTCGAGGTGTGACAGTACTCTCACCTGTAGGTTTGAGGCCAACAGTTGGATTGAGAGAACACAATCGACGGCACTACCTTAACATAACTCTAAATACTGTGCTCACTATTTACACGCCAGATGAGTCTGGACATGTTATTACAACATCTATTGAAAAAGTGGATACAAGGGAACTGTGCAAACAAGCAGCTGCTCCAGAGACAGCTGGTGGACCTCGAGCTATTGTCGAGGAAGAGGAAGAGGAAGGACATGGAAATATTCCTGCACAAAACCATTCTCTCTTCTCTAATGTGAACGATTCCCACTGTCAGTTTAGAGAGTCTGCTTCCTCTCCTCGAATTCCTAACTACAGATCCCCAAGATCTGCATCAAATAACATCTTACCATGCAGTTCTGGCCAGCCTCAGACATTAAACCAGAGGCATCCACAAGCTCATAACATGCAGCAGCATGCACGTCATTTAAGTAATAATATACCTAGAGTAACATCTTCAAACTTTAATGGAAAAGTGATGAGTCCAAGGCCACCAACTACAGTACCACCTTTAAAACCTCCATGCCAGAAATCACCCATCCACTCAGTGGTGCCAGCTATTTGTAACAGACCATCAGGTTCCGGTGTTAACACATTTAGTGAGAAGATTAAATCATTATCAAAATGCAATTTTTTTTCCAGTCAAGCTGAAGAGCAAGAAATCAGTGATTTATTGGATGGGGTCGATGCAGATTCATTGTTTGGTGATTTTTAGCTGTCTGATCAATGTAAATATAGCCTATTATGTTAAAACTTTGTTGACATTTTGATAAATGTATACAAAAACTTTAAATTAAATATTAAGGCAGATTACTATGCATTTATATAGTTAATACAAAACAAAGAAAAGTGTTCATGTTTACATTAACCTTTTTATTCCTGGCAATAAAAACATTCTATAATATGGATATGTAATTTCTTACTTTTTTGCTGATTTAAAATAACCAGTGTTGAATGTAATGAAATGCGAGCCCCAATGGCTCTCTGAAGCAACTATCACTGATAGTGTACCAACTACTATATCAAATCAGCTGCAGAGTTATGTAGGCCTAGCAGGGACTACCAAAAGAACTCGCCCAACAATATAAACAAATAAAAATCTCCTGAAACTAGCACAAGCTCGTTTGCCCCACCTACCACTCAGTTCAGGGGAAGGGGGAGGCAGGTCCCAGTCAGCCAACTCTTCCACCCTCAGTTCTGTGATAGAGGTAACCAACCCCCTGATGACTTGGAGGGAGGGTGTCGGGGAGCCACTGGGGCTCGCCCAGAAATTGGTGTTTCATTACATTCAATGCTGGTTTTCTGGAGGGTGGGGAAGTCCCTTCTGACTCCCTGAAGCTAACTACCCACAGAAAAGTAAAATGAGGGTATATACCAGGGAGGAAGGACACTGCTGGAACTAAGATGAAGATATGACTCCTGGCTGAGAAACATAACCCAAAGCCACACAAGGGTGCCAGTTCCTGGGCTCACTGACAAGATACTGGGCCGCCAGAACCCTGGTCGACCTCCTAAACTCCCGCAACAAAATATCAGCCCAGGACATACAGTATTCGCAAATACAGCTGAGCAGCATATTTCTTAACATGGGTACGACAATAGACCACAGGCTGGCTATACTTAATAACACTGCAGACAAATTGAGAAAGACAAGCATCCACCGAGGCAGAATTGGTGGCACGAGGGTAACAGTACTCGCCTAATTGTGATGGCTGGGGTTGAGCTTTGGCTCTTTGGTCCTGCTTCTCAACTGTCTCAGCAGTGGAGAGCTGCCACCTGACACAGCACATGATCTACCCCTGGCTTAACCAACCAACCAAACATCAATGACCAAAGGACCCCTCCAGAAGCTAACCGACTCATTCAGCAGAAAAGGAGCTGGCTGGAGATGAACAAATTCCCTACCAGGGCCAAAAGAACTAAACCCCCGTTGCCGTAGGAGAGCATGAAACTCACCCATCCAACAACTAGAAGCTAGAGAAGCCTGAAACAAAACCTTAAAGAAACAATCATGGACTGAGGGGGGGGGGGGGGCACTGCGAACAGAGAAGACAGAAACGAAAGAACACAATGCAGAGAACAAGCAGGGTCAGGCTATGTGTGAGCAGGCCAGAGGTGAAACAATTCATGAGACAGCTTGCAAAACTGAGCTGAGGTAGTATCGACCCTAAATGCCAGCTGTAGTGGCTCCGCCAGCATCACAAGATACGAGGCAACGGTATTTAGCATGAGATGCCGATAAAGAAAAAGCCAGGTCAGAAAAGCAAATACCACATGCCAGAATGCAAAGAACAATGATAAGAGAAAAAGTAGCAAAGAGTGTCATGAAACCTACCATGACGCAGACCACAGTTGAGACAGCATCAGTGAAGCCACCTGATCGCCAAAGGGATGGCAATAAATGTTCATCAGAAATACCAGATGCAGAGTGGAGAAGGATGAACCAGTAAGGTACATCACTGGGCTGAGCCTCTGAAAAAAGTGGAGCCGTGAAAAAATTCCCAGGTTTGAACAATGAGCAAGCAGCACCTGAAAACTAAGGCTGGGACGGCCACTAACCCTTAAATTGCGCAACACTGGTGAAGAGCAATACCCCTGCTTTTTGCAGGTTCTATTCTGAATTTTCTTCCATATCAGTCACCCCAGTATGTTATTTTACTGTGTAAATTGGTAACCACTGTTTTAGCTTTGCTCGTTTACTGGCCTTGCAGATAAGTAAATTTGGTGGCTTAAGGGATAGAAGTTTTCAAGGTTTACCAAGGCATCAATTGTTCTCCAAAATGTCCCAATTTTCCTAGCCTAATTCTGAGAATGTGGGTAAATTACCTGTTGGAAACTGTGCCTTTTATTAATGGTTGATAGCTAAAGCTGTTGCATTACTCAACATAGTATTTCTTTGTACCATCAATTATGACACCATTGCAATGAGAGGATCCAGTTTTTTTTTATTGAATCCTCGTATTCTGCTGTCCCAAGGAAGATACTATTATGATCTTTAGCGTTTAAATTGGCACTAGATATTTCCTGCACAGATTTCTGTGAGCCTTTTAATTTGTACATATTTGCTGATAGCAGCTTTTAAAAGTGAATCTAACTTCAGAGAGTCTGCTGGTGTTTGGTTAGATAAGTTCTCGTGCTCGTGATAGTTTAGTGCTTGATTCGGATTTAGTCATAATTGCTGGCTGATCACTCAGCATGGTGTGTATAATTCAAGAATAAGTGTAATAATCCAGTTAGCTAATACACTGACCCTAAATTCATCCATCTAATCTGCTCAGAATCTTGATTAACTGATCCAGATATAACTGATATAAGCTCTTTTCTGTGGGGAGCCCTGTTGGCTTCCTGAAGCTATCTGAACTGATATGTGCTATATTAGTTTGGGTCATCAGTCACAAGAAGTTCTTAGGCCTACCGGGGACCACGAGCCAGAACCTGCACCCCTCAGAGGCGCAGGGAGCAATGGTGTATGAGCACTTTACTTTTAAAGTACGTCAAAATCTGCCATCGACTGGGGCATTTACCCAGAAAGATAGGAGAACCAAAACAAACAACTAGCCAGTAAAATTGCTACCTACAGCCAGAAAGCGCAAAAAAACTCCTGCTGAAAGAAAAGAAACTAGTAACTATCCTCAACTAGTACTCTTGCTCGTTAGCATAAGAACCATCAACCCTGAACGTAAGAGCTGAATTGGCTCCACCGGTCGGCACCAGTCCGACCTGGAAGAGAGAATAACCTGAAAACCAGAGTTGGGATCGGAAAAGTCGGAACTGAAGGGAAGAAGCTGGTGCAACTACCCCTGAACACCCATTCCAAAATGACCTGACAAAGACAAGAGGAGGAAGCCTGGCTGGAAGGCTCCACTTCCCCCCCCAAAAAAGAGAGGGGGCCAACCTACTCCTCTGCTGGTCACACAAAGACACCCAAAATGCCCAAGAACTGCAGAACCAGAAACTGGAAACCCAAACGAGATATTGTATCAGAGCATCATATTGCAAATCAGAATAAAGTACAGTACCTGTACTATGATTTCATGTACTTTGGCCTGATGCAAGTTTGCCCTGTCAAGGAGCGAACCGCAAAAAGGGCTGGCATCAACCCATTGTACTGGAAATTCGAAAGAGAGCATGGAGCCGGCCAGACGATGAACCGGCCTAAGGAAGTGGAAGCATCCCAGCCACTGGATCCGAAACCAGCCCACCCCGACCAAAACAGGCAATGCCCTAGCCCAAGGCAACTGCTACAAACACGAGAAAGACCCCGTACCACAACCCTCTCCGGAAACCACAACTCAGAAGAGGCTCATGCCGAAACTATGAGGTCAGTATTGTGAAGATATAAGATATAGCAGTATAGGAGGCAAGATTTTTGCCTCCCATACAGCTGGGAGGCAAAAATGCAGCCACTGCCACTTGATGGACAGGGGGCATAAAGCAAGAACCACTGATGGCATCAGAGCATATACCAAAACCCCCAGCAAGAGCACAGCTGAGAGCCCCAACAACCTCCAAGAGTAGGCTAAAAGTAGCCCCAGAAGGCTCGAGAAGCACAAGAGTATGTCAAGGGGCAACGAATACGAAAGTCTACCACAACAGCACAGCCGACCACTAAGGAACAGGAACATGGAGCCACAACAATCCAATGTCCTTTGGGAGAGCAGGGCAAACAAGAAAACACAGAAAAAAAACCCAAGACACATGTAACACAGAAGCCATATGCCACTCTTAATTAATTAATTACCAGTAATTTTAAACTGGGAGCTGAGCTTGGTTTTGTCCTTCCCATTCGCTTGTACCAGTACTCACAACTAGGCGAGTACAAGTGAATGGGAAGGACAAAACCAAGCCCAGCTCTCAGTTAAAAATTAATTTCTATTTTTTGCTATTGTCAATATAAGAGAAAACAAAGAGGGTGCCTGCCAGAGAGGATGACCTATGAACCTCACATTGCAACTATGACCGAGGCAAAATCCTGGTCATGCATGTGGTAAGCACAGTTTACCCGAAGTCTCCACTGGGAAAGGCTAGAGGCCAGAACCTCCAAAAGGACGGATCCAAGGAATCGAAGGGCACCCGGGGAACAAACCCTAGGGGTAGCTGCACTGAAATCAATTCTCAGAACACCCTCGACAAAAGGAATAAGCATCCAAGAAGGATCAAACAGGACTCAATTGCCAATGGCTGACTCCCCCAAACCCTGGGAACCACAGCCGAAGGTCCCAGGGCAGAGCCAGAATCCATGCCCACCACCTTGGATAGAGAAGCGGAGTCAAAAGGAAAAGCTTCAAAGGTTGGGGCTGGCTGAAAAGAAAGACCCAGAAGCCTCAGCAGGATGATTGAACTCAGCTACTACCACATCCAAGCAGGAAGGGGCACAGACTCAGCACAAACATGTATAGGAACAGTCATAAAGGCAAAAAAATCACCACTTGGCTGAAGCAAAACATAGGAACAAGAGTGAAGGAAAGGGCACCATACACCGTCTACCATCAGTAAGAACTGATGGTGGAGCAGCCGGCTTACCTGGTCTGCCTCCCTCCTTCCCCTAACGAGAGGGGGGGAGGGTGAACGAGCTAGCACTAGTTTCATGAATTTGTTTTATATTTTGGAAGAGTTCTTTTAGCAATTTTGAAGTGTTAATAATTTTTATGTCCAGTAGTGCAGTTTTGTTTTGCTGACCTTGTGGGTACTTCTCTAGTAGTGGCAGACATGATTAAAATTCACTGACAACTTTATAGTGCCACTGCTCTCTCTGTCTGATTAGAGGGGCCAGATTCTGGCTCATGGTCTCTGGTTTGCCTAAAAGAAATCTGCCACTGATGGCACCAAGTAGTTTGGCACTAGATCAACACTGTAGCTTCAGGGAGCCACAAGAAGCTTCCCCCAGAAAATAGAAAGGCAATTCAAACAAAGGAAAACATGAATAACCTACTGTACTTCTTTATTAGGAAGAGCCTGTGAATACATTATATACATTTATCTAGTTTTGATGGAATGAAGTAAAATGCTGGAATTATCTTTGCTTCACATGGGCAACGACAACCTGAAAAAAATTAGAAGCCAATTTGAGTGCAATTAATTTTATAAAATTATTAAAAATTGCAGTCGATATTTTTTTTACTGGAGAATGATGAATAGAAATGGGACAAAGTCCTTACATTTTAAAGTAATGTGTAACAAAATTCAGTACACTAAAATAATTTATAATGTGTTTACATTTATATGCTCAATAATTATGCCCAATTTCTGTGTCTTCTGTGGATGGCCTCTCTGCTTTACAGAGAGGCCATCCACAACTGGCTGGGCATGTGTCCAAGTGGATTGTTGGGCACCAGTCCTTCCCTTTGTCCTATCCTAGCTTCTTTTCCTCATTCATTGCAAGGATCTAGGGATTTTCACAGGAACTAATACCTGAGAAAAGTATGTACTCCTCTATTACTCCTTTATGTCCTCACTAGAAGGTGGCGGAGGCCAAGACCGTCAGTAGTTGCAAAGCGTTATATGACAAAGAGTGCTGGGAAGACGGGACACCACGAGCGTAGCTCTCATCCTGTAACTACACTTAGGTAATTACTACATAAACAAGACAAATCAAACCTGACCTGACCAAGCCTAACAAAAGTAAGATATAAAATTGTTATATATATGGTGAGACATCATCACATTCTTGCCAGTACAGGTTTTGGTTAATACTGCTTCCAAGAACTATATAGCCTAACATACAAACTGGGGTGACATTCAAATAGTATGATGATTTTTTATGTATATTTCAGTCTTGGTTGCAGTAGTTGAATGTTAGAAATGGTCTGACATGTTGTGATAGGTTGAGATGAGAATGCTTGCTACATGTTGGAGGAGTTATGTAGGACATAGTTCTTACGGTGACCAGAGATGGGTGAACTTTGTGAGTGAGGTGGCATCGTCTGCTGGCTGTTGTGTGGTGGCCGCTATATTATTTGAACTCTCCATATCAGCTTAGTGGTTCGTTATGGTGAACAAAATTGTAGATACTTATATCTAACATGTGTATAAAATGAAATAAAATGCCTGGAGGAGAAAGCAACGAGCATGAGTGCAGCCAGGGTATGGAGATTGGAGAGGGCTAAAGCATAGATCACACATTAGGGTAGAATCAGATTAGTCAAATGTGGGGTGAGTGTACTTAGCTCGAATAAGGCTGGAATTAGCTGTTTGCTCTGTAGTGTCTTTTGTGAGAGTTTTAACTAGACTCGGAGTGTTACATCGTATGCTGATGAATGTCAATGGCATGGGAGAAGGTATGTGGTATATCCAGATCTTTTGTCACTGAACCTCTATTGGAGTTAGATTGACAATGATATGATTGATAAAGATTAAGCCAACCAAAAGGTGGCACGGACATGAATAGCCCCATAAGAGAATGCTATGCCCCATGATTGGTTTATATCGATGTTTCACCTGACCTTGAGTTGGACACAGGTTACCTCTGGCAAATTGATCATCATTTGGCCTGATGGGAAACTCACTGGTTACTTTTGCCATTCTTAAGTGATTCATAGAAACATTGGGAACATGTATTAATATAATTACAGATGTCATTAACCCCTTAACTGCACGGCCTCCAAATATGACACCCACCCAGTGTGCAGGAAATAAAATCTCTGGATAAAATTCTTTTCTGTTTTGAAAGTGTCAAAAACCCTTCCCTGAGTAGGGGTATAGTAACAGAGGCTACCTACCTTGAGGCTACCTTGAGGTGCTTCCGGGGCTTAGTGTCCCCGCGGCCCGGTCGTCGACCAGGCCTGGTTGCTGGACTGATCAACCAGGCTGTTAGACGCGGCTGCTCGCAGCCTGACATATGAGTCACAGCCTGGTTGATCAGGTATCCTTTGGAGGTGCTTATCCAGTTCTCTCTTGAACACTGTGAGGGGTTTGCCAGTTATGCCCCTTATGTGTAGTGGAAGCGTGTTGAACAGTCTCGACCTTGTTGAACAGAAGGTCGAAATTGTACGTACTTTGGCTGCTATGGGGTCCTTAAGTTCATGCGTGACGTCATCATTCCCTGGTCGCCCGTGGCGTACGCCCCCGGGGCTGGTAGGATGTTCACGGCAGGATGAGCGAGTTGCCGCGAATATATTTTTGTTCATTTTCTGCGTACAGTTCCAAATATATTTTGTGCTTTTACGTGCCAATCCTATGTATAATGAGCACGTACACTATATTATGGCAGTAGAACATCCGTACTGACTGAAGACATACCGTTACGTGCATGACACATGTGTACACATATCCGGCACATATTTCCACTGTATCATGCTAATTTATGTATATATACAGTCTATTTACACACTATACACAATCACACACTATATACATTCACCATCAACACACTCAGAACTCCGCAAGTGTCAGCTGCTACACACCCCTCACTCCTCCAACATCCACTCTCCCTCACTCCTCAAACATCTTACTCGCCAACATTGCTCCTCCCACCATACTGTTATTGTTTGTATTACACTATTTACACATGTTATATATACCTATCTACATGTTTCATTCACCAGAACTATGCAAGTAAGCTGGTATTGTGTCCAAACTTTACAGTGACCACCATACACTGCATGAGAAATCACACAGCAGCCAGCAGATGACACTATGGTTACGTCACCTCCCTCACCAACATAGCTCCTCCAAACATACTCCTGTTGCTGTTACTACACTATATACACACATTGTATATACCCATGTACAAATGTGTTCACCATAGCGAACCACTAAGCTAGTATGATGAGCAAAACAAGAGTGGCTGCCACACACAGTGAGGCTACCTCGATTCTCTCCCCCGCTCCCTCACCACAATTCCTCCTCCCACAATACTACGCACATATGTACATGGGTATATACACACATTGTATATACCCATGTACATATGTGTTCACCATAGGCGATGCTGTGGTCACAAGCTGAACAGCAGTGCTGTGAGCTCATGCTGCGTGCGCCAGCCATGGTTGCTCACTCAATACTGAGGCTCTCACACCCGGGAATGTGGACCACAATTTGTTTTATAGATGGCGTCTGTTTACAAGAGACCTGAGGAAACTGATGTGATCCCCATGTAGCCGCGGGAGTTTTGAATGGAACGTGAAAAATACAAATACCCGGAGGAATCCCCAGACGTGGGCCTGCAAGCGTGTTGCGCAGTTAAAGGGTTAATAGTGAATAAGGATGCAAGTGTCAATAGTGATTATGGTAATAACTAGCTGGCACAGTAGAAATAATATGGTACAAGTTGTACCGACTTTCATGCTTTTTCTTGATAATAACCTTACCTTGCTTTGCTTTAGATATATTATCTCTACCAACCAATTTTTTACTTGGTCTCCATTAAATTTTCTAAATATTTCCTAATTTCATATGCTCTCTTGGTTATTCCTTTTAGTCAATCTTTTATTATTAGATTTACTGCATTCCCCATTATCATAGGGTGGAGAGGCATTTACCCTACAATAGGAGGTTAAAGATATGAAAAGGATAAAGATATTCATCATATTCAAGAACTAGTAGGACTGATCAGGGATGATTCAGATAATTGACGGTAAATTCTGTAAAATCAGTAAAAACCTTTTGTAAAATCAAAAGGCATACATTTTAATTGCACTACATAATAGGTACATACCTTAACTACTTTGTGACCTCTAACCCTCAGGCTGCACACCTGTTTGTCAGGCGCACATCGTATATATACTTTTTAAAGTACAGCATAAGATTTAAAAGTCCCGCTGCTACAATGGGGTTCAAATCAGCTTCCTGAAAGCTCCAGTAAGCAGACGCCATTTAAAAAAAAAATCGTGGGTACCATTTCCAGGTGTGAAGACCTCAGAACTGAGTGAGCAACCAAGGCTGGTGCATCCAGCATGAGCGAAGAGTACTGCTGTTCAACGTGTGACCACAGCATTATTTAAAAATGTCAAAATATATATGTAACTGCTGTTATTTAGTGATGAAAGTATTACAGAAGAGCCTGACTGTGATAAAGACTGTATACACTATTCAGGTATCAGTGAACACAATGCTATTCAAGATGTTCACAGTGCTAGCCACAGCCATTGTTTGGTTCATCTAAGAATCTTGAAATGACTTCTCATGTTCCTTCACAAAAGAAACTTGTGGAAAATTATTCATTTACAAGATTAAGTGACCAGGATTCTGATAATAGCAGGACTGTGGTGATAATTCGCGATGTGCGTACTATGTTGTTAAGAGGAATGTGGGCGAGTGAGATGGCATCGTCTGCTGACTGTTGTGTGGTGGCTGCTATATTGTTTGGACTCTGTATACCAACTTAGTGGTTCATTATGGGTAAACAAAATTGTAGATACTTGTACTGTATATAACATGTGTATAAAATGAAATAACAGCAAAAATATTATTTTATTGCTTTATGAACATAATTAAATCACTAATATGCACACCATACTTTTGAGTATAGTGATGGTTCACACATTTTATTATATAAATATATCCCACTACATAGTACTGAATAATATTACTGCAAAAACACCAGACAAAAAAATCAGACATTGAAGTAATTAAGTAATAATATCTTTGTGGCAACTCCTGCCTGACCAGGGACCTAGATACACTTCAAGATGTTACACGACCAAAGTTCACAGTCACTCCAAACATCTACCATCTACAGGCTACTCATGCCCATGCTACCTTTTGTGGTGGCTTAATCTTCATCAATCAATGAGTCTGATGGCTCAGCTGGAGGAGACCAGCTGAGGACGGGTTCCTCAGTCCACGTGGAGAACGTGTTCTCTTTTCGCGCCTGTATCTTGCCAGACTTCCTCTCCCTATCACAACCAAAACGTCACCTACAACCCCCCCCCCCCCCCCCCCCTGTGATCAGGGAACACATTTTAACAATCTCAGAAGGAAAACAACTTGTTACTTGTTTTTCTTGCTCAGTGTTGTTGTCGGCAATTAATAGCTGTGCTGGCCAAGGGGTTATCTTGAGATGATTTCGGGGCTTAGCGTCCCCGCAGCCCGGTCCTCAACCAG